TGTGTAGAAGAGAGGGTGAATACTTTCCGGTAAAAGTAGGTCTTAGACAGGGATGTGTAATGTCATCATGGTTGTTTAATATATTTATAGATGGGGTTGTAAAAGAAGTAAATGCTAGGGTGTTCAGGAGAGGGGTGGGATTTAATTATGGGGTATTAAATACAAAATGGGAAGTGACACAGTTACTTTTTGCTGATGATACTGTGCTTATGGGGGATTCTAAAGAAGAATTGCAAAGGCTAGTGGACGAATTTGGGAATGTGTGTAAAGGTAGAAAGTTGAAAGTGAACATAGAAAAGAGTAAGGTGATGAGAGTATCAAATGATTTAAATAAAGAAAAATTGGATATCAAATTGGGGAGGAGGAGTATGGAAGAAGTGAATGCTTTCAGATATTTGGGAGTTGGCGTGTGGGCGGATGGATTTATGAAGGATGAGGTTAATTATAGAACTGATGAAGGAAACAAGGCGAGTGGTGCGTTGAGGTATATATAGAGACAAAAAACGTTATCTATGGAGGCAAAGAAGGGAATGTGTGAAAGTATAATAGTACCAACACCCTTATATGGGTGTGAAGCTTGGGTTGTAAATGGTGCAGCGAGGAGGCGGTTGGAGGCAGTGGAGATGTCCTGCCTAAGGGCAATGTGTGGTGTAAATATTATGCAGAAAATTCGGAGTGAGGAAATTTGGAGGTGTGGAGTTAATAAAAGTATTAGTCAGAGGGCTGAAGAGGTGTTGTTGAGGTGGTTTGGTCATTTAGAGAGAATGGATCAAAGTAGAATGACACGGAGAACGTATAAATCTGTAGGGGAAGGAATGCACGGTAGGGGTCGTCCTCTAAAAGGTTGGAGAGAGGGGGTAAAGGAGGTTTCGTGGGCGAAGGGCTTGGACTTCCAGCAAGCGTGCGTGAGCATGATATATAGGAGTGAATGGAGACGAATGGTATTTGGGACCTGACGAGCTGTTAGAGTGTGAGCAGGGTAATATTTAGTGAAGGGATTCAGGGAAACCGGTTATTTTTATATAACCGGACTTGAGTCCTGGAAATGGGAAGTACAATGCTTGCACTCTAAATGAGGGGTTTGGGATATTAGCAGTTTGGAGGGATATGTTGTGTATTTTTATACGCATATACTTCTAAACTGTTGTATTCTGAGCACCTCTGCAAAAACAGTGATTATGTGTGAGGTGAAAGTGTTAAATGATTATGAAAGTATTTTTTTTGGGGTCACCCTGCCTCGGTGGGAGACGGCCGACTTGTTAATATATATAAATATATATATATATATATTATATATATATATATATATATATATATATATATATATATATATATATATATATATATATATATGTCGTGCTGAATATGTAAAACTGGTCAATTAGCAAGAACTCTTTTAAAATTAAGTCCTTTCTAAAATTTTCTCTTATACGTTTAAAGCTATATTTTTTTCATTAATGTTAATGTAAAAAATTTTAATTTTGCACCAAAAGAATCTTAGAAAACTTACCTAACCTTATTATAACAAGAGCAATTTATTTTAGCCTAACCCAACTAAATATATTTTAGATTTGTTTACAATAATTTAATACTAAACAAACACAGTGAAATATATTTTTGTTTCGTTAGGTTCAGAATGATTTTGGCGAAATTATTGCATACACAAATTTTCACTTGTCCTATATGGCAAGATGAACGTTGCTATTTAAGCCAAGATAGCAATTTCTGCCTATTCGGCACGACATATATATATATATATATATATATATATATATATATATATATATATATATATATATATATATATATATATATATATATATATATATATATATGCAATAAGATCACAGTAAACAGGTGATTTCAGAATATGCAAAACAACCACTCTGAAAGAAAAGAGAAATTCCAAGCGCTTTCGTGACTACTCACATTATCAAGGAACTATCTATTCTATATATATATATATATATATATATATATATATATATATATATATATATATATTATTATATATATATATTATATATATATATATATATATATATATATATATATATATATATATATATATATAGTGCTAGTCACAGCATTATGCCAGGTGAGCGCCGCAGTATAATGACATGACGAGAATCAAAGGCCTACCATACAGGGGGTCTTCGTCAGTGCATTATGCCGGGTTGCAGCCGTTAGCATGGCGTCACGGCCTGCCGCCACACTCCACAGTGACTCCTCAGTGCTCACGTGGCTGCCGTGGTGAGAGGAAGTGTTGCACTTTTGTCTCTCATCCGCCCCCATCTTTTGTCCGGTGTTCCCTTTAGTTTTGGGACTATACATGTTTGATTATGGGTAAAAGAAAGTTTTTAGCACCTGAAAATATAGCTCAAATCATAGGGCATCACAAAGCTGGGCACCAGACGAAAGAAATAGTGGAGAATGTTATTGTGTGTGAGCGTTCAGTGAGGAACTGGGTGCAGCATTTCAAGGCTGATGGCGGTGTCGAGTTACAATCTGCCAAACCTTGGCCTGGCCCCTCGAAGAAGACATCTGTTCGCACCTTAACTGTATTAAAGAAGCAGTTAGAGAGTACACCTCAGATAACTGCTAGAGAACTGAAAGAAAAGAACCAACATCTCCCAGACCTGTCTGTAAGAACTGTTAACAGAAGTGTGTCAGAACTGGGCTACAGTAGTCACCGCCAGGTTAAGATATCGATCCTCTCCAAGCCACAGAAGAAACGTAGGCTGGATTATGCAAAGAAATATCTTCACTGAACTCCTCAACAGTGGTCTGAAGTACTTCGGAGTGATGAAGCATCCTTCACTGTTGCATGTAATCGTGGGGGACACGTGTACTGACCCAGAGGTAGTGACCCGCTAGACCCACGCTACACCTGTGGCACCACCAAACAGCCAGACTCACTCATGGTTTTGGGGGTGTTTCAGTGGCCAGAGTGTTGGTGAACTCATTGTGCTTCCCAAAAACAAATATAATTACATGGAGTTTTTGTGTGACAATTTACCTGAGGTGTTTGACAAGTGTGGGGCTACTGTTTTTATGCAGGACGATGCACCGTGTCATACCACCAAGGACTGAGAAGTGAGGCTCTTTAATGACTGGCCAGGCAATTCCCCAGGCCTAAACCCTATTGAGAACCTCTGGCCAATAGTGAAACAAAGTTTACTAGGAAAGGATATTAGTTCCATCACACGGCTGGAAGCTGCTCTACATGAGGCATGGAATAATATACTTCCTCAAACCCTCAAGAATTTGTGTGAGAGTCTTTCTACAAGGCTGAGGGACGTGGTTAAGTGTAAAGGACGCAGCACTAAGTATTGAAACCTCAATAAGTGTGCAAATATAAATATTATAATCTTTCATGGTATGTGTGTTTTGGTACGTGTGTGGGAGAGGGGCGGCATAACTCCGTGACTAGCACTGTATATATATATATATATATAGGGTTGAGTAATGGACCTTAAAGCCTATCAACTACACTAGGGCCAGTCAAGAATGCTTTACTTCCTAAAATAGAGATTAAAGCAAACTCTCAGCATATATACGCTGAGAGATGCATATATGCGCTGAGAGGTGCATATATACGCTGACGTCACTATCTTTACTCAAAAATAATTGTTATAACTTAAATATTTATAATAAAACTGGCAATATACTTTTGTTTCGCCTATATCTTCATATTAGCATCACTGTTTTAATATACAAAATTTGTGTGACTAATGGTGCAAGTTTGACCGAAAAGTCGTCATGGGACCGAAAAGTCGTCATGGGGAGGGGGCGAAACGTCGTCAAAAGTTTCTGTCTGTGCGAATTATTTGTGTATTGCTCCAGTCACGGTATTGTGTCTTCTTTTATTCTCTTTGTTTCTCAAAATATTCATTACATCCAATAATCTTGAGACAATTTAACTGTATCAAACTTAGCATACAAATAATCTAAATTCAACTATATATCTGTACTCTCTCAGACTTTTAAGTTTTGTATTTCTTTTTCTGGTATAAGTACAGCTGCAACATGTACTGCTTTCATAACAAATGATGAGCATGAGATCTGTTTACTTTTCTTTGTGATCGCAGTTTTAAAAACAATAAATAACTGCAACATATAACAATTTTTTTTTGATAAGTTCACCTGTTTCTAGATTAGACTTATTCTCAGGTAAGGTCCCACTAAGGGTGAGTAGGAAGCGGAGGTAGAATAGTTGAGTGGGGGAGAGATAAGAGGAGGAGCCAGGACTAGACCCAGCAGGAAGGTGTTGTGGGAGAAAGACATATATGCACAAATCAGGACATTTATTAGAGGAAACTGAAAAAGCCACTCGTGGCGAAACGTTTCCTAAAATAAACGTCCTAAATTGTACATCTGTGAGGGCATCTAACAGTAGTGTCGAGGTAGGTAGTCCAAGAGTCTTGGTATGTCTCTAGTCTGTCTAGCTGTCTGTCGTTGAGTGTTTTTCAGCAGATGTGTAGGGCTGGTAAGCCAGTCATGATGTGGAGTGACTTGCTCATCTCAAAGTCCTGCCACCTCACCTCCAGCAGCATCCAGTGCAACGACAGATTCTGGATTCACTGCAGCTTCGGGGCGCTGGTCATGGCAATCAACGAGACCGAGTTTATGCAATGAGGGGCCGAAAAATTATGAACAGTATAGAGGTTGAGTTTTGTGGAGGTATATGCACTTTCGAGTTTGTATAAGAGATTAAGAGAACCACTTGGCATATCTCTCTTAACAGTGATGTGTGTTTATGTGTGTATGCATCACCGCTAAATATGATTAACGTTTGAGTATAAACACTTTTCTGAAAAAACGCAAGTCTAAAAAAAATTAATAATAATAATATTATTATTAATATTATTAATAGTATTATTATTATTTTCTAATGAAGGCTAATATTTTATCGAGTTGTCATTATATCAGGTGAGTGCTGAAAGAATGCCTTCCACACTCCTAGACATAAACCAGCTATAACGGCTTCAGTCTCTTACCTTCCTCGTGATTCTTGAGTCTGATCCTGCCGTAGGCGCCGAAGAAGACGTCAGCGAACTCACTGATCTCTGGCACGTACTGTTCAAGCTTGATGACCTTGTCTGGATCTGCGTTGGCCATGCCGTGGTCGGCTACCAGGAGGATGTTGACACAGTGTAGCAGGTCTCTCTCGGCCAGACCTGCCATCAGAGTGGAGATCTGTTTGTCGACTCGCTGAAGCTGTTGGTTCAGCTGGAAGGAGGGAAGCGAGTAATGAGTAAAGATGAGAGAAACTGTAAGTGTATGTACATGTGTATTAACCTATATGTGGTTAAAGGGGTCGATTCATAGCTTGTGTGTGTATAAGAGAGTGTGTACAAGAACATTTTGAATCTAACTTATCCTTACTTGAAACATCCCCAACAACCTCCTCCAAAATATCCATCCCTAAACACCATCACCTGACTTATTTTCACCCACCTCAGGAGAGTCGGGTCCTGTGGCATGGCCCTGACGGTCTGGCTCGTCGAAGTATAGGGAGATAAAGTCAGGTCTTTGTTCAGTAGGCAGGGACAACCACTCGAGAACCTGTGAGAGAATAACATGGGTTACTACTACCCACGTCAGGAGATAGTTTTGCCCCGGAAAACAGTACCGGCACAACAACCACTGCTACAGAGGCGCAGGTCAGGCTGCCCGGCAGGATTGAATTTATATATTCGTAATTCTGGCAGGTTCAAACACACAAGCGTAATGTTAGGTAAGACACATATGCAACAGTTAGGTATCTTTATTTCGAAACGTTTCGCCTACACAGTAGGCTTCTTCAGTCGAGTACAGAAAGGTTGATAGAAGCAGAAGATACTTGAAGATGATGTAATCAGTCCATCACCCTTAAAGTTTTGAGGTGGTCAGTCCCTCAGTCTGGAGAAGAGCATTGTTCCGTTGTCTGAAACAATATGAAGTTGAAGTGACAGAATGGGGCCTTTACTAGTGAGAACGGCTGGGTTTGAGAAGGACCTGCCCTCCAAAGCACTTAGACTCACCTCCGGTGCACTATAAAGGCCCCATTCTGTCACTTCAACTTCAAATGTTCAGACAACGAACCCAATGCTCTTCCCAGATGAGGGACTGACCACCTTCAAACTTTAGGTGATGGACTGATTCATCATCTTCAAGTATCTTCTGCTTCTATCAACCTTTCTGTACTCGACTGAAGAAGCTACTGTGTTAGCGAAACGTTTCGCTAAATAAAGATACCTAACTGTTGCATATGTGTCTTACCTAACAACTGTCGTATTTCATACCCATTTTAATGTTCATCTGTCAGACACTGCAAGAAAGGGTATCTTGGTAACAGACCACTTCGACAACCTCTACTAGTGAGAACGGCTGGGTTTGAGAAGGACCTGCCCTCCCAAAGCAACCTACGTCTCACCTCCTGGCACTATATAAAGGCCCCATTCTGTCACTTCAACTTCATATTGTTTCAGACAACGGAACAATGCTCTTCTCCAGACTGAGGGACTGACCACCTCAAAACTTTAAGGGTGATGGACTGATTACATCATCTTCAAGACTATCTGCTTCTACAACCTTTCTGACTCGACTGAAGAAGCACTACTGTGTAGCGAAACGTTTCGAATAAGATACTACCTGATGCATATGTGTCTTACCTCAACAACGTCGTATTTCTACCATTTAATGTTCACACAACGAATAAACGTATGCTCAGGCACAAAGTAACTCAATGCACAACAATGTTCTAACGTTTTATGAGACAATTGTTACATAGTCACCTATCTTTCTTACATTAGAAGATAACCGTGTTGTTAATAGTATGCATTACTACGTTCTTACTACACACTATTCGCAGTATTGCAATAACAGTTTAGTCAGATTTCATATAGTACTGAGGCATATACATCGAGACGAAATCTAAATCGCTACGCTAAGGGTACTGTAATCCCAAAAAAAGAAAGAGGAATTGCTGAGGCATACCTCCGTAGACAAAATTAAAATATTAACGCTCATGTCCCACCTGATACTAACAACAATGACATACTAAAAATCGATATTACTCCCAATCTCCTCTACTATCACTCTACATCTACTATATTACACTACCTAATTTGCATTTATGTCGGGCTCTACCTCAGACAACACTACCTCAGACAACACCACCTTAGACAACACTACCTCAGACAACACTACCTCAGACAACACTACCTCAGACAACACTACCTCAGACAACACTACCTCAGACAACACTCACCTCAGACAACACTACCTCAGACAACACTACCTCAGACAACACATACCTCAGACAACACTACCTCAGACAACACTACCTCAGACAACACTCTACCTCAGACAACCACCTCAGACAACACTACCTCAGACAAACACTACCTCAGACAACACAACACTACCTCAGACAACACTACCTCAGACAACACTACCTCAGACAACACTACCTCAGACAACACTACCTCAGACAACACTACCTCAGACAACACTACCTCAGACAACACTACCTCACACAACACTCTACCTCAGACAACACTACCTCAGACAACACTACCTCAGACAACACTACCTCAGACAACACTACCTCAGACAACACTACCTAGACAACACTACCTCAGACAACACTAAAATACCTCAGACAACACTACCTCAGACAACACTACCTCGACAACTACCTCAGACAACACTGTACACTCAGACAACACTACCTCAGACAACACTACCTCAGGACAACACTACCTGCAGACAAACAAGATCAACACTTTACTTACCTCAGAAACACTACTTCAGACAACACTACCTCAATACTAGACAACATACCTCAGACAACACTAACTAGACAAACCTACCTCAGAACAACACTACCTCAACAACATCTAACCTCAGACAACACTACCTCGACAACACTCTCAGACAACACTACCTCAGACGACTCCTCAGAGTACACTACCTAGACAACACTACCTCAGACAACACTACCTGACCCATCTACCTAGACAACACACCGTCAGACACACTAACCTCAGACAACTCCCATGACGAAACACTTACCTCAACAACACACCTGCAAACTACTGCAGACTCCTCAGACACACTACCTCACACAACACTCTACCGTAATCTACACATCTGACAACACTAACTCAGACAACATACCTCAGACACACTCCTCAGACAACTATCCTCACAACACTACCTCATACAACACTACTCAGACAACCCTACCTCAGACAACACTAATCAGACAACACTACCTCACACCACTCTACCTCAACAACATCTACTCATCACAACACTCAACCTCAGACAACACATACCTAAAACATCTCTAGACAACACTACCTCAACAACACTAACCTCAGACAACACTACCTCAGACAAATCTCCTAAACATTCAAAGCTCAGACAACCTACTCAGACAACAATACCTCAGACAACACTACCTCAGCACACTACTCACAACACTCTACTCAGACAACTACTTTCAGACAACACCTACCCACAACACTCACCTCAGACAACATACCTCAGACAACACTACCTCAGAAAACACTCAGACAACACTACCTTCAACAACCACCTCAGCAAACACTCTACTCAACAACACTAAAACCTCAACAAAGCACCTTAGACATCCTACCTCATAAACCTCTCAACAACACTCACCTCAGACAACACTGAACCTCAACCTCATACACACTCTCTAGCAAACTACCTCAGACAACTCCTATACATCAGAACTATCTACCTCAACAACTACCTCAGACAACACTCTACCTCAGACAACACTCTACCTCAGACAACACTCTACCTCAGACAACACTCTACCTCAGACAATGCTCTACCTCAGACAACATCTACCTCAAACAACACTACCTCAGACAACACTCTACCTCAGACAACACTCTCACTCAGCAACACTACCTCAGACAACACTACCTCAAGGACAACACTACCTCAAACAACACCACCTGAGACTAACACCTACCTCAGACATACACTACCTCAGACAACACTACCTCAGACAACATCTACCTAGATACACACTACTCAGACAACTCTACCTCAGAAACACTACCTCAACAACATCTACCTCAGACAAACCTAACCTAAACAACACTACCTCAGACAACACTATCTCAGACAACACTGCCTCAGACAACACTACCTCAGACAACACTACCTCAGACAACACTACCTCAGACAAACACCTACTAAAACACTCACCCCAGACAACACTACCTCAGACAAACACCACCTAGAAACACATACCTCAACAACACTACCTCAGACAACACTACCTCAACAACACTACCTCAGACAACACCTACCTTAGACAACACTAACTCAGACAACACTACCTCAGACAAACACTACCTCAATACAACACTACCTCAAACATACACTACCTCAGACAACACTACCTCAGACAACACCTCCTTAGACAACACTACCTCAGACAACACTACCTCAGACAACACTACCTCAGACAACACTACCTCAAACAAACTGCCTCAACAACACTAACCTCAGACAACACTCCTTACCAACACTGCCTCAACAACACTACCTCAAACAACACTACCTCAGACAACACTACCTCAGACAACACTACCTCAGACGACACCACCTTAGACAACACTAACTCAGACAACACTGCCTCAGACAACACTACCTCAGACAACACTACCTCAGACAACACTACCTCAGACGAACACCACCTAGACAACACCTAACACACTCCTCAGACAACACTACTCAACAACACACTAACACACTACCTCAGACAACATACCATCCTTAGACAACACTACCTCAGACAACACTACCTCAGACAACACTACCTCAGACAACACTACCTCAGACAACACTACCTCAGACAACACTACCTCAGACAACACCACCTCAGACAACACTACCTCAGACAACACTACCTCAGACAACACACACCTAGACAAACTACCTCAGACAACCCTACCTCAGACAACACTACTCAGACAACACTACCTCAGACAACACCTACCTTAGACAACACTACCTCAGACAACACTACCTCCGACAAACACTACCTCAGACAACACACCTTCAGACAACACAAACTACCTCAGACAACACCACCTCAGACAACACTACCTCAGACAACATCTACCTCAGCAACACTACCTTAACAACACTACCTCGACAACATACCTCAGACAACACTACCTCAGACACACTACCTCAAGACAAACTACCTCAGACAAACTACCTCGGACACCATTTTAACATACCTCAGACAAACACTACCTCAGACAACAATACCTCAGACAACACTTACCTCGGACAAACACTCTAGACAACACTACCTCAGACAACACTACACTCAGACAACACTACCTCAGACAAAACTACCTCAGACAACACTACCTCGGACAACACTCAAACTACCTCAGACAACACTCACCTCAAGACTCTGCAACACCACAACACTACCTCAGACAACCTACCTCAGACGAACACTACCTCAGAAAAACTACCTCGGACAACACTACCTCAGACAACACTACCTTCAGACAACACTACCTCAGACAACACCATCTTAGACAACACTACCTCAGACAACATACCTCAGGACAACACTACCTCAGACAATACTACCTCA